AGTAAAGGTCAACAATGTGTGGGGACTTGAGGTATGGCAGTTTGCCACAAACTCATTAATCCAAGGCTTGTTATAGCAGGTATAAAGAATATTAAAATTTCTCTTAAGACGTTTGAGAAAAAAAAAGATTTTTTTGTTTGAAGGGCAATCAAGAATAAGAACCTTCTACCAAACATTTTTCTTACTTGTTAATGTAAACAATCTCTTAAAAGTGTCATGGTTCATTCAATTTTGAACTTTAATCTGGGTTTTTCTCTTGGCATTCACATTGCAGATCTTAATTACAGTTTGTTTCTTTTTAGAAAGCAGATGGATTTAAAGTGTTCAAATATACTGTATAATAAGGTCTCTGTGTGATAGAGGAGAGGACTAAGTCTAACCTCGGCATTTCTAGCCTCCTCGGGTGAACTGTGACCTTTATAGAAAGCCAGGTGATTGCTGCCTCAGCTTGAGTCCCATTTTGAATGTTAATGGCTTTAGCTGGAGACTTATTTGGAAGGACTTATTTGGCCCTGTATTGTAGCATTTGCCTTAACGTATTTTATAAGAGAAACAGAATGTAAATTCCAGGATTTAAGTGTGTTTTTTAAAATTGGTTTTTGAAAATTCAGCATCATTATAACTTGATTCATTTTATTTATAGTATTTATTTTATTTATTTATTTGGTTTGCTGGGTCTTAGTTGTGGCACATGTGCTTCTCACTTGTGGCCAGCAGGCTCCTTAGTTGTGGCTCGCCGGCTCCTTAGTTGTGGCATGCAAACACTTAGTTGCAGCATGCATGTGGGATCTAGTTCCCTGACCAGGGATTGAACCCGGGCCCCCTGCATTGGGAGCTTGGAATCTTAACCGCTGCGCCACCAGGGAAGTCCCTTGATTCATTTTAATGTAGTAATTTTAACAAAGTTTGTTGATATGGTTGTGTGTGAAAAATACAGACTAGTTATAAAAAGACCCTTAAGCCTGTATTAGTTCAGATAACTTCTACACACATAAATGGGACACTAACTGCTGCATATGACTGACCAGACATTTGAATACCTAACCATATTCATATAATTTGGGTTCCCCAATCTCTGGGAGAAGGTTTGTTGTATCTCACAGGAACCATTTCATATAGGATATAATAAGAAAGTTCTTTTAGAAACAAGTTTTTAAATTCCTATTGTTAATGCATCTTTATCATAAAATGGGGACTTAACGAGATACCATCTCCACTAGTCATTATTTTGTAAATCATCCTCTGGGCACAAAATTCTAAACTTGTAGAAATTATCCCTTTTTGCTCTCACTTAGGACTTAATAGTGCGATATAAGAAACTGGAGATTTTGGTTTGGCATAAATTCTCTACAAACAAACAGCTAAGTCATTTTTTTTTGTCTTTTTTTTTTTAATTGAAGTATAGTTGATGATGTTAATTAGCAAAGTGACTCAGTTATATATACATTCTTTTTCATATTCTTTTCCATTACGGTTTATTACAGGATATTGAATATAATTCCCTGTGCTATACAGTAGGACCATTCTATATATATATACCAGTTTGCATCTGCTAATCCCAAACTCCCAATCCTGTCCTCTCCCACTCCCGTCCTCTCCCACTCCCGTCCTCTCCCACTCCCCTCCCCCTTGGCAACCACCAGTCTATTCTATATGTCCCTGACTCTGTTTCTGTTTCATAGATACGTTCATTTGTGTCATATTTTAGATTCTACATATGTGATATCATATGGTATTTGTCTTTCTCTGACTTAGTTCACTTAGTATAATAATCTCTAGTTGCATCCATCTTGCTGTAAATGGCATTATTTTGTGTTTTTTTTATGGTTGAGTAGTATTCCATTGTATATATTGTACCACATCTTCTTTATCCATTCATCTGTTGATGGACATTTAGGTTGTTTCCATGTCTTGGCTATTGTAAACAGTGCTGCTATGAACATAGGGGTGCATGTTATGTTTTTCAATTATAGTTTTGTCTGGATATATGCCCAGGAGTAGGATTGCTGGATCATATGGTAGTTCTATTTTTAGTTTTCTGAGGAACCTCCATAGTTTTCCACAGTGGCTGCACCAACTTAACATTCCCACCAACAGTGTGGGAGGGTTCCCTTTCCTCCACACCCTCTAGCATTTGTTATTTGTAGACTTTTTAATGATGGCTATTCTTACTGGTGTGAGGTGATACCTCATCGTAGTTTTGATTTGCATTTCTCTAATAATTAGCAATGTTGAGCATCTTTTCATGTGCCTATTGGCCACCTGTATGTCTTCTTTGGAGACATGTCTATTTAGGTCTTCTGCCCAATTTTTGATTGGGTTGTTTGTTTTATTGTTGTTGAGTTATATGAGTTGTTTGTATATTTTAGAAATTTTAAGCCCTTGTTGGTCACATCTTTTGCAAATATTTTCTCCCATTCTGTGGGTTGTCTTTTCAGTTTGCTTATGGTTTCCTTTGCTGTGCAAAAGCTTGTAAGTTTGATTAGGTCCCATTTGTTTATTTTCATTTTTATTTCTATTGCCTTGGGAGACTGACCCAAGGAAACATTGGTGCGATTTATATCAGAAAATAAAACAGCTGTTTTGCCTAAAACAGCGAAGTCTTTAAATCATACTGAGAGGAAAAGCAAGTTGTCTTGCTGAGAAAGGGAGGCGAGTACTTTTGAATGGTGAGGAGTGAAGCACATAATTAAAGGGTTAGGATTCTTGTTCCAAAGCAGAATGGGAGAAGAGAGTGGAAGACTCCCATCTGGTCCTTTCAGTCCTTGAAGATGTTCTGAGGACTTTTTTTGCCTTTGTGGGAAAATGGTAAAAGGAGGGCTTAAGGCTTTCTGAAAGAATCCAAAGGATTGAGGATTTGGGTTAGGTTATGGCAGGTGAGGCCTTTGGAATTAGAAGTCCTGGTGATCTGACAGAATGAGAGAGAGGCTGCCATGGCAGGCAGCCTGTATACAGGACTAAGAGAGATGGACAAGGAGTTGGGACTGGGGAGATACTGGGACCAGGAGTGGAAGAAAGGGAGGTCGAAGGTACGAAAAGGAATGAGTGGAGATAAGAATTGATGAATTTGGGGAGGTTGCTAGAGTCATCCCGGTACAGGAGGTTGTGAATAAAGAGGTGGTCAGAGAGGAAGACGACAGGAAAATGTGAGTGGAATGAGCCCAGAGGTGATGCAGTAGCTGGTAAATCGATGAGAACACTTTGGAAAAGTCAGGTGTTGAGAGGCCAGGGATGTGAAAAACAAGACCTCAGGTTGCCCTCTGGCTTTACAGCTCTGAATTCCAGAGCACACACTGTCTGAAAGTTAATGGTTTTGCTTCTCAGAAATACGAAATAATACGCTGACATATTTTTGTAAAATCAGAAGTGAACTCTGAAAAGCATATAATATATGGATTTGTATTTTAACAATCAATCAGAAGTATTAACTGCCTCCTTGTAAACACTGGAGGATGGATACTGTTTGGGCTCCTCAGCAGGAGGTTTCTAACAGGAAAGGGGGAGACTCTAAGCGGGAGAGTCTGATATTGGGCTTTTCCTTTCACCATGTACAAGCAGTGTCCTTAGGGCAGATGGACGAATGACACTCCTCAGGAAAACCTGGCCATGGGAGACACTGTCTTTACTCATTTTAGTAGAACCCAAGTCAAAAAAAAACATAGTTCTTCTGTGGTGGAAACAAGAAAAAGAGGGGAAAAAAACACAACTCTAGATTTAGACTCTTTTTTTGAAACCTGTAACACCTGAGAACTCCAAGGTCTCCCAGTGTCATTTACAAAAGCCCAGAAAAGCACTCAGGGTATCCTGGGTATGGACCAGCTTCTGGGAGAAAACAACATTACGAATCAAAAACCACAAAAAGTAGAGTGACCAGACCAGTGTATGGAATAGCGAGAGTTGTGATCAGATGGGACGCTGAAGAGCACAGGTGGCGCTGGTTGCGGTGTGGTTTGGACAGTGCAGTTTCCTTGAAGAAAACAGTCAACTTTGCACGGTACCAGGAAGGAGCCTATAACGGATGGGAACATGAGTGGTGAGACTCTGGGTACATTTTTACAAACTGACTTGAAGGGTTTTTTTCCCCCTAGTAAGCAGAACTCAGCGTCAAGGTGATAACAGTTTTCAGCTCAAAGTGGAAGCGATACTTTCTGTTAATCTGTAATCATTCTTTATTCATTGTAAGCAATAAAGGTAAGTATAATTCCCCACGTGTATTCCATCATCAAACATAATTGAAAATACCATTTATCATTTGCTGATTTAGGACCCTAACTAAAGAACATTGACAGTCATAAAGAGTATCCATGCTTAGTTAAAAGGGAGGACCTTTTGAAGAAAATATCTGAGGAGTAAGTTTTACATAAGACACTGATTAGGAAGGTACATTTGGGAGAGAAGAGTAAAGAATCTGAGAATAAGCAGAATTTTATCAGCTGTTGAATTTTTTGGATGGCATTCTCCTTTGCACATCTGCTCTTTCCTATTCTTTTCATAAAGGGTAAAGGAGTAAAAGTCTTACAGAAGGGAAGCCATGTTAACCTGTATATTAGTTTAAGGAAACGTTGCCCATTTTCAGTCTTACTGGCCTCTAGAGTGGGTTCGTTCCTCCTTCAGCTTAGCAGTAAAGCCTGAGAATAGACTGGACCTGAATCAGATGTTTTACCTTGGTATAAATTTGTTGTCCCATTTGTTGGAGACTTAGGAATAACTGTAATCTGTAGGGATAGAGCCTCTGCCTCATTGAGAAAATAGCTAATTGTTTGTGCCGTTAAGGCAAGAAAGTGGGTAAATATGGATTAATAGTAATCTCTTGCAGGGAAAGTATTTCTGAATCAACTCAGATTTTAAATGTTATGTTTTATGAAGTTGTGACAAAATTTTTCTTTCCTCGCACTTTGAAAGTGTTGACTCATATTTTGTCCTGTTTTGTGATGGCTCTTGTGAAAGGAATAGAAAGAGATTGGGAAATAAGCAAGTGTTTCTGCCTTTTTCTCCTGCAGGTCCCAGTAGGGATGGCACAATCAGCGAGGACACTATCCGAGCCTCTCTCATCTCAGCAGTCAGTGACAAACTGAGATGGCGGATGAAGGAGGAAATGGATCGTGCCCAGGCAGAGCTCAATGCCTTGAAACGAACAGAGGAAGACCTGAAAAAAGGTCACCAGAAACTGGAAGAGATGGTTACCCGTTTAGATCAAGAAGTAGTAAGTAACTCATTGAATAGTTGTACTAGTTAGATTGAATCATAGCCATGGCAAAGTGTTCTGTATATACTGTGGTTACCCTGAACATTGTGGGTAGAGTTAAAGAGTTCTGAAAATTATACACACCTTTAAGCATTTTCACATAGCTCCTCTACAGCTTTGTTAAAAAAAAAAAATGCAGCCTGTGGTTGGAATGTAGTCTTTGGGGAGTGGATGTGTTCAGAGGAGTTTTGCTTGCACCTTCACCCCGGGGGGATAAATGTTTTGACCCAAAGGAGGACTGTTTGAGCGCTTGATGTTACCAGACAGTTACTAGGAAATAAGAATTTGAGAGAGCTCTAAGTCGTGATAAAGATCTGCAGACCCTGGGTACAAACTTAAGGGTCAGTTCTTTTTTGTTTCCAAATGTTGTTTGAACTATATTTAAAGTATCTTTGGTGAGCCCTTCTAGGTGAGCCCTTCTAACTTAATAACCCATAGTGTATGCAACCTTTAGCTCTTAAGCTTTCTCACATTTTTATCAGACTGCTGTGCCCTTATGAGTCAAGTCAGCCCTGTGACTTCTTTTGTTAGTGATTAGAGGCACTAGCATAATTTGAGTGCCAGCTTCACTCTTCACTTTCATTCCTGTGATGGAGAATTTGTTCCAGCAAGTGTGCATTTTTGATGAAAGGGTAAAGAGTTATTAAGTGTTTGAGGGCTTTGGAGAAAGTGATTTGTATGTACACATTACTCTAATAAAATGGTTCTAGTGTGTAAAGTGAGCTTCTCAATAGCCAGCTATTTTCAAAAGTTCAGCAAAGTGACACCAGTACAGTTCAGAGCCTGCAACTACCACCTGCTGTATCTTGTGAATAAAGTTCAACTGTTTGGAGTTCTGTGTGTTGAATCATCTGTACAGACTGGGGAAAGTTATTCCTCTGAGGCAGATGGCCACTTGATTTGAAAGAAGGACCTCCTTTATGATTTTCACGTAAGGAACCTCCTGCTGGAAAGTGTCTTGTCTGATGGCTTAGTTTGCAGTATCATTTGTCACTGGTAAGTGACAAGCTTATCACTGCCACCAAAAGTGCTCAGCTCAGCATCTCCTGTTTTCACTCAGCATGTTAGAGCACACCTTTTCCTCTAACTGTGACTAATGTGATACATGAATCTCATCCATGAGTTGTTTAAGCATTGTTTTATTAGCAAGTCTGTTTCTGTGAAGTTGAATTGTAGATGTCTGACAAGCAGATAATTAGTATAAAATCATCATGCTTGGACTATTCTGTTTTCAGGCTGAGGTTGATAAAAACATAGAACTTTTGAGAAAGAAGGATGAAGAACTCAGTTCTGCTCTGGAGAAAATGGAAAATCAATCTGAAAACAATGATATTGATGAAGTTATCATTCCCACAGCCCCACTATACAAACAGATCCTAAATCTGTATGCAGAGGAAAATGCTATTGAAGACACTATCTTTTACCTGGGAGAAGCCTTGAGGCGGGGAGTAATAGACCTGGACGTCTTCCTGAAGGTATGTCTTCCTCGCTCTGCTTTCCAGGGTTTCGGAACATGTTTTAGAGACACTGACCTTGAAAACCACAGATCAAGAGGGTTTCTCTGTAGGAGGTAGGTTAAAATTCTTTGTCTTTCCAAAAGAGAGCAAGTGAGATAAATGGCTGTGAGCAGTGCCTTCCCACCTACAGAGGGGGCTGAGGATCATCTGAGTAGGGGAAGAAAAGTGGGCTAGTGGCTGCAGTTCCCCACCCCTGGGTGGATCGTGAGGTACAGTCAGATTTCCATTGATTCTTTCAGGTCACATCATCTAAACCGAGATCATTGACTGCCCCACCCTTATTGTTTTTGTTTTTTTCCTCTGTTAATTTTTTTAGACTTGCATAGTTTTATACCTGTTTTCCCAAATCAAACAGCCTTGGGAAGTATTGGGTTTGCCCTGCTGGTAATAGAGCCCTTCTGAATAAAGGTTATATTCCAGGCTTAATGCTATTGTACAGACATGAAGATCTATAAGCCAAGTTTGGCTACTTCTCTCTGTTGAGTCAGGAAGAGCATGGCTTTAGGAATAATAGCAGCCATCCTCTGGATATTCAGTACAGCTGCTGCTGATGCTTCAGTGCACATGCGAGGCTGGTCAGGTTGCTTGCTGATCTTGCCTGTCTTACTATGAGCGTGTGGCCAAACCACTCTTGGACCTGGTGCAAGCACATGAATAGCTGGGACCCTAGAGAGGACTTCCTTTCTGTACACTGTCCTTTCTGTACACTGTCCCCTGCTTGGGTGGCATAGCCTAGGGAAAGATACACATGGAGAGGCAAGAGAGGTACACTGTTTGCTAGGCACTGGACAAAAGCTGGCCTTGTGCTATACTCATCCTTGCCCTTCCCCTTTTTTAGCCAAGTGGGAACAAACAGTCACAGTTTGTACAAAAGTTTTTTGTAACTTTTGTTAGGATCACAGTACAAGTTTCCCTGCCATCTTGGTTGTCTCAAGTGCAGCTTGAACTCCTGAGCCAGATCCTGGAATGTGGTGCTTTCCCTGTGAAGAAGGCCTTTGTATAGGGTCTCAGAAGACTACTTTCCTTAACACAACCTGCCAGCATCAATCCAGTGAGTTTAAAAAGCCACATGTAATAAAGTATTGGCTCCAAAGGAAAGTTGATATGAGTTTAGGTTCTTAGCTCCCACCTAGGTTACAAACTGTCTGATAGTTCATGCCTGGGCCTGGATCAGAGCCAGTCTAAACTGTTGAAACTTTTTCCCCCTTCACAGCATGTACGTCTTCTGTCCCGTAAACAGTTCCAGCTGAGGGCACTAATGCAGAAAGCAAGAAAGACTGCCGGTCTCAGTGACCTCTACTGACTCCTCTGATACCAGCTGGAGATTGAGCTCTTCTAAAGCATTCTTTTCTTCTCTTCCTTTCTCTTATATCAGTAGGTGCCCAGAATAAGTTATTGCAGTTTATCATTCAAGTGTAAAATATTTTGAATCAATAATATATTTTCTGTTTTCTTTTGGTAAAGACTGGCTTTTATTAATGCACTTTCTATCCTCTGTAAACTCTTTTTGTGCTGAATGTTGGGACTGACTATGCTAAATAAAATTTGTTGCATAATTTTTCTCTTTTACTGAACATCTTTAGGAAAAATATATGAAACCTAAATAAGAAGCTCGGTTTCTAATTTAGCAAAGTATATCATCCATCGTGAGTTGAAATTTAGCATTATTTATCCTCTAGCATATAAAGTGAATTCTATTCAATATGGGATATAATACCACACAGAAATCTAAATTTTCAAATATTTGAAATTGAGGGATTTGAGTGACTTTTTTTTGTGAAGGGTCCTGGCTGGTACCCTTCTACCAGTTCCTGCCTAGATTTGTTTCCTTTCCAGGCCTGACAGAACCATAACTGTTTTCATCAAGAAAGGAGCAGAGTGGCCAGTACCAAGCTACACACCTGAGAATTTATGTTAACTAGGCAAGATGGTCTGGCCACAATTAAGGAGGAAGGTACAGTGTACACTGCCTCTCTGCATTTATTGTCATCTAAAGTCAGTCTTTCTGGTGAGTGATTCTGTAGTCAAGATTGTGGCCACCCATCCAGTGATCTACATATCCTAAAAAGCTTATCTAGCAGAACAGAATTTTCTCTGTCAAAATGAGAGAGCTAGAAGGTTCATGAGGTTATAAAGAAATGAACATTCTAATTTAAGATGTTTTAAGGTATTCAGGCAGCCAGACAGCCTACTCTATACTTCTCCCAAGAGAAGAAAGACATTTGGTCTTACTCATCACTGAAGAGTTTATATAGTTTAATCTTTTCTTAAAAAATGAAAATCTACTTGTAAAAATTATCAGAATAGAAACTAGCAAGGTTTAATCTAGTGTTAGGTTTGAAGCTAACTTTTTTTTTTTTTTTTTTTTTTTTTTGCGGTACGCAGGCCTCTAGCTGTTGTGGCCTCTCCCGTTGCGGAGCATAGGCTCCAGACGCGCAGGCTCAGCGGCCATGGCCCACAAGCCCAGCCGCTCTGCGGCATGTGGGATCCTCCCGGACCGGGGCACGAACCCGTGTCCCCTGCATCGGCAGGCGGACTCTCAACCACTGCGCCACCAGGGAAGCCCTGAAGCTAACGTTTAAATGAGTTATTTTTGTGTATACATTTATTCTTACATGGTAAAGGAAGTTACAGCTTTTTTATAGCATACAAAATGAGCTTAGCTGTATTAGCCAGCCAGAACGAAATAATTAGCATATGCTTGATGAAAAGAATCACGGTTTCTAAACACAATAAACACACATCATACATTCTTTTGGACCAAATGGCAACTACATATATAATATACAAGGCAAGTACTGGTACATCAGAGGTACCAAAATACCTTATTTGATGCAGTGACTAAGGAATTACAAAAAATAAGTATCATCCAACATATGGATGCTAAATAAAAGAGCTGAGGGGCTAAATAGTGGAGTCACTCTTCCCTCCTTCTTTTTTCCGACTTTTAGGAATTTGAGTTTATTCAAAAGTTTGACGTCTTTAATCCTGTAACTAACCACTCTCTCTCTTTCGATAACTTCAGAATGGTAGGTTTAAGCAACTTTAAAACTTGCGCTCCTTCTGAATTTCCCAGAGAGTTTCTGCACCCTTTTCAGATGGGCCTCTTCTGCAGAGGTCAGCTTTACCTTTATGAGGTCTGTAATAACATTCTCACCCAGGATACACGGAACACTAAGGTATATTCATTTGTTCAATAGTGGCCCTGAAAGTAAAGACTTAAAAATTATTCCTTTCTCCTTTCTTCTAACGAAGGTCTGCAATATGAGAAACAACAGTTGCTGGGTGAACTGAGTATTTAACAGATTTGTAGTATGAACTGTGGCAGAAAAAGATACAAGGAAAGAGGATTCTCTGGTAGTGCAGTGGTTGGGAGTCTGCCTGTCAATGCAGGGGACACGGGTTCGAGCCCTGGTCCGGGAGGATCCCACATGCGGCGGAGCGGCTAGGCCCGTGTGCCACAACTACTGAGCCTGCGCTCTAGAGCCCACGAGCCACAAAGAGAAAAAAAAGATACAAGGAAAGAACAATTTAAAACAGATGACTAGACATACTTATTGTTCAAATTCATCTGCCATCTTCCCACATAGGCCCCAACCTCTCGCCATGTTTGCTGGGACCAACCCTCCTTTTCCTATCTCCTTGCCCCCAAACCGCTTCCTATCAGGGAACCACTTCAAAATTCCTATTACTTTATTCCCAGTGATTTAATTCCATTTTACTTTACCTTCTCCCATTCAAACTAGCAGAGGGATCTTACCCAGGCCCCAACATCCCCCTCCCCAGGAGACCAACTGCTAATACTTTTGTGATCAGTGCTTCTTTCTTAGGTCTCTTCACTGGACCTCATTGAAACTGGTAGAGAACAACTCAAAATGTGGCAAGACCTACCACAGTGGTTCCCAGTGTTACTAGATATTTGTAGAGCTAGTTCACTCAGTTAAATAATAAAGATGCAGTAAGACTTTTATCTAATAGAATGTATAAGAAATACCACACTAGGCCAGGACAAAGGTCTACAAAGGTAGGCCTCTTCCTCCTCTACCACCATCCCTTTGTCTCTGTCTCTTCAGCAGCAGCAGCAAAGAACAGATTTTAGGAAGAGAGGTGCTTCCATAAGATCAACTTCAAACATTTTCATCAATGCTCTTTTACCTCTATCTTATGTTGGTATTAAATATTTTTTCAAACATAAATATCCTACCTTACTCATGGTGGAAACTGGATGCACTCCTAAGATTCTTCAGAATACTTTGTTAAATCAACACAGGTAGGGCAACACCCATTTCTTTTTAATCACCTCACAGCCACTGTGGAGTTGGAAGAAATCATGAACATAAGTTAATTTTAGAAGAAATACTTGTCTTTGAACATCCATATTGCGGCAGCCTGACAATGCCACAAATCTGAAATGTTTCCATCAATAATTTCTCCTAGGAATTTCTTATAGGAGTTGGTTATGTAAGGTAGGAAAACAGTTATGACGGTTAAGTACGGAGATCCAAAAGTTAATGTGAAATCAATTTTACTATTAACTGTAAAGAATATATAGCAACAATTAGAAAAAATATATTGTCAGTTAACAAGTGAGTGCCTACTATATGGTAGATACTGGGTTAGGCTCAGCAGTGAGTGAGACAGACTGAGTCTAGTCCCTAACTGCTTAAGAGTTTATAATGTGAATATGATCACACCAAAATAAAAGTAGAAGTGCTAAGGAAAGAAAAGTCCGGCAGATACAACATGTACTTAAAGGACCCAAGTCTCATCCCTCTGGCACAATTCAGGCTTACAGCTAACTTCCAAGGTACTGAAAATACAAAACATACTACCTGGGGGGCCTCCCTGGTGGCGCAGTGGTTGAGAGTCCGCCTGCCGATGCAGGGGACACGGGTTCGTGCCCCGGTCTGGGAAGATCCCACATGCCGCGGAGCAGCTGGGCCCGTAAGCCATGGCCCCTGAGCCTGTGTGTCCGGAGCCTGTGCTCCGCAGCGGGAGAGGCTACAACAGTGAGAGGCCCGCGTACAGAAAAAAAACAAACAAAAAAAAAACATACTACCTGGCAACCACTACTTTGCTGACATTTTCCTTCTGCTCAGGTCTTTATCAGTTCCTTTATCTGAGTTCAGAACCTTTGGAGAGACCACAGCAATGTTCACTCCACTCCACACAGGAACTAAGAAAAAGATACCCCCAAATCCATTCATTACATAGTATTATATAACAGGTGGTGGTTGGTTTTTTTTAACCTTAGCAAAACTGTTACAATTGCCCTGAGTGGTTTACAACTAGGAACACTCAACAAAACGATCAAAAATTCAGATGTCTAAGCCCTACCCCAAATCAGCTAAATCAAAATCTTAAGGGATGGAGCCCACAATTCTATCGTCTTGGCAGAGATTCTCCAAACAAGAAAGTGACAGTTTTGAAATTTTCAACTATAAATTATTAAGTTTTAACTTTTATCACTTCAAGTCCTTTTCCATAGCCAGGGGTTTGTATCAGATCGATTTCAAGGGTTCTTAGCCAGAAGAAAGTAAGATAAAAAGGACTGCTATCATATTAGCACCCCTCCTCCTCTTCCCTTTAATTTTCTCCAGTTAATAGGAAGAATTCATGTTACTTGAATTACAATACTGACCTTTCTGAACTAGGGTATCCCAAGTTAAATGTAAACTACATCTTGTTACTTAGTGCTGTGTTAAGAAAGCCTTATAATCTTAATTGTACATATATGTAGGATTGTAGTAACATTCTCATTTTTTTCAAACTTGTATTTCTGGTAAGTTATTTTATTATCAAAATAATGTGCTAAAAATTAAAACACTACTAAAAGGACCTAAAGTAGAATAAAAGTCCTTTCACCCAGGAGGTATTTTACTTTATGATTAAATATATGATCAATACAGTCTAAATATATTTCAGAGAGTGTGCACAGCTCAGTGGTACTTTTAGGCTTAACCACTTGAGTCTCTGTGCTCTAAAAGGACAAACCATGACAGCTTTCAGAGTGGACACCAAGCCTCTGCCCAGTCAAGAAATGGAAAGGGGCAGTGGCCAGATTACAGCCACTCCCAATAACCACAGTTCTGGGGAAATGCTCTTAACTTCCATGCTACAAAGTTAAGATACCCACTGAGAAGAAAAAATTCAAGACAGAAAAAGTTCTCACTTTAAATGATAAACTTTTTTACATTTATCTAAATTAAAACTAAGTCTGATGTTTCGCTGGGGGGAACAAAAACAGTTCTCTATCCAACTCCAGTTATACCATAGTTTCAACAATATCTACCCAAGATAAATAAATTATGAAAACCTTTTGTTGCTACTTTGTATAGACGTTTGTGCAGAAACACACACTTTCATTCATGCCATTAAAAAAAATTTAAGAAACACAAATCAATATCCCTTATCAAGTCTTTGAAATAATTTTTCTCAGAGAATAATCCATTTAGAGCAAAAAGCTTAGTTAAGAGGGAAACAGAGAAACAAGTATACATGGAATATAACTGTCAGGCAAAACATAATCAGGCCTTAGTCCCACTAGGCAAGGGAA